TTTGTTCACAAATTGTTTTTCCGTTAAATATATTACTCACAGAAAAAAATGTTTCATCGAATCGTTTGAGAGGAGTATAGACTCGTTGTCGACAGAGCTTCTGATCGCCCGACCCTTCACTTTGAGATAAAATTATGATTTGATATTAAATTACTGTAAAGTTTTTTGCTTTCAGTGTTGGGAAACTATTTTTTTTATTTGAGGCAAAATGAGTGCTAGTTTTCACTTACGATAGTTTTTTTCGAGGAAGAAATTATATGAAATTATCGGTAAATAATTGGATATAATTTGTTTCAATTCTGTTCATTAAAAATAAGCCCCAATTATGTTATGCTTTTTTTGAACCGAGTTTTTGTGCTAAAAATTAAAACTTTTTAATAGCAGCCGATTTTTATGCGCTAAATCTCAAATAAGATTATACCCCAAGTTATAAATCTATTGAAAATACATAATATTGATATTAAATTGAACAATAATTAGACAAATAAATAAATTAATATTATTTTATAAATAAAACGGATTATACGAAATGTTTTTATTAAAATTAATCGAAATCAGAGTTAAAGAGAATTCATATTACGTTATAATCAACGAATTAGAAGTAAAATTTGGCTTAAGATTAATAAATTGAATACAAAAAGAAATCATAAATAATATAAAAATGATTAAACAATTGAATTAAATAAAAGATAACGAAGAGATTGAATAAGAGATTTGTGGTGTATTTTGTGGTGTATTTTGTGGTGTATTTTGTGGTGTATTTTGTGGTGTATTTTGTGGTGTATTTTGTGGTGTATTTTGTGGTGTATTTTGTGGTATCATTAAAAATAAGCCCCAATTATGTTATGCTTTTTTTGAACCGAGTTTTTGTGGTGTATTTTGTGGTGTATTTTGTGGTGTATTTTGTGGTGTATTTTGTGGTGTATTTTGTGTACATTTTGTGGTTATTTGCTATAATAGTTGCGGTTATTTCGGGGATCGGTTTCGGTTTTTCTTTGGATTGTTAGGACAGTCGCTGTGCCAGTGGTAAGCAATGATGTTAAGCCGTAGGCAGTAATGACATGGCTCTGATGGCGGTGGTGTGTTTGCCGTGAGAGTGGTGTCATTAGTCTGATTGGCTGAATTCGTGGTTCGGGTGAATGTGCTTTGATTAGTGTTTAATTTGTGATTCGCTTTCTTTTCCAGTTCTTCGCATCGAATCTCTATATCTCTATACAATCTCTCCTTCACTTCACACGAAAACTTCAATCGCGAGATTTCTTCAGACAATTCTTTTACCTTTGATTCCATCTTTTGTTTCTCCATTTCAAGCCATTTATAATTGTCTTTCCATTGAATCAAAGCATTGTTGACTCTCTGGGAGTGACCACAAGTCTCACAGGGTTTAAATGAACAGGTCTTGAGGTGCGTCGACAGTGACTCCATGGGGCAGATATTAGGGCACCCGTTGTCCTCAAAGTCACATTTGATTTTGCATTTGTCGATAAATGCCTTCATTTCGTGATTCTTGTGGACAACTATAATGTTAGCAATGATGACCACATTATTGTTGTTTAAATCGTTGTGCGTTGGCTTCCGAGTGGTCAAAAACTGGAGACACACCGGACACATGGTTTGGACACCGTTCTTACCGACCAACTGTTCCAGACATTGACGACAAAAAGTGTGTCGACAGTGAGTCTGAACGGGATTGTCATAGACTTTACTACAGATACTACATGTGACAATTTCTGCAAAATGTTTCATCGATCCGTCGAATAAGTCGGGAAATCGATCGCAACTTAAGTCCGAACGCGACTCGAGTCTAGCCATTGGTTTAAATATGATTGCAATATAAATCACAGCAATTAAAAGCTATAAAATCACTTTCTCTTTAACTGATTTAACTGAAAAATCGTTTTAATAATTCTTAGATTTGAGTGCAAAGATAATAATTTGTTATTATTTCAAATAGCGTTTAATTCCTTCATTGTTGCCTTTGGTTAGCATTTAAATAATGTGTTTTGAAACTACATTTGAATAAATTTAATCTCATTGTGATTAAACGTATCTATTGCTGAGCGCAATAGTAAACGGGAACTTTTTGATAAAATCACAGCAATTAAAACTATAGTTTGCAATAAAACAATAATGTGGTCGAAATGCTACTAAAAACTAGATTTATTTCATTGTTTGTCACGATATAACACATTATTATTAGAAATTTGAAATTTAATTCGTTTCAAATTCAAACCGTTAAGAAAGTAAGCCATGAGTGACAGCAATACTGTTCCCGATTTACCACCAGTGGTGGCGCGGAAGGGGTTTAAATTGGTTAAGAGGTTAGGCGGCGGGGGTTTCAGCACTGTCTACGAGTGCACTTGGGATCGCTTTCCCGGCAAAGGATTTGCGGCCAAAGTGATGGACTTGAGTAAAGTGGACAAGATTTGGGCCGACAAGAACATGAAGAACGAGATGAAAATCATGAAAATCTTGAAACACCCGAATATAATACAAGTACACGACGTGACGAAGACTACATCCATGGCCTATATTTTTATGGATTTGGCCAAAAACGGCAGCATTTCGGACGAATTGGAGAACACGAAGCGACCCATCGCTGAACCGAAGGCCAAGAAGTACTTCCGGGACATCATTGCTGGCCTTTACTATATGCACACCAAAGGTGTGGCCCATCGGGACATCAAACCCGACAACTTCTTGATCTCCGAGAGTCAACGGGTTTTGATCACTGATTTCGGCTTCTCTTGCGTTACGATCGATGGCACCGAACGGCTGATGAAAGGGACCGCTTGTGGCACAAGTGAATACAAAGCCATCGAAATCAAGACATTGAGAGAGGGAGAGGTATACGACGCCAAAGCCTCCGACATGTACTCATTGGGAGTCTCTCTGTATTTAATGGTTTACTTTAACTTTCCGTTTGACTGTTCAAACGAAAGCGAATGCATTCGTAAGCAAAGAAACCGAGAATATCCCAGAATATGCAAAATCAACAGAATCTCTGCCAATCTTAATGAAATCATTTACTTCCTATTGAACCCAAACCCTAAGACCAGACTCGCGAGTAGAGAAGCCCAAAACCACAAATGGCTGACCACTGAATAGTTTGCAATTTAATAAAACCAAAATCTTATTTCTTCTTTGAATCTCTTTTTGTTTTATAAATTTTATCCATTTTTTGCTGAGTATTTAAAGCAATATAATTTAGAAAAATAAAAATTGATTTATAAATAATTCGCGAGTTTTTGTATTGTTTTTCTATGATTTGAATTTGAAAATTAATTGTTAACTACATTTGTATTGTATAACGATTTTATACTTTTGGCAAATAATATTCAAGTGTTTGTTTTGTGAATCAATTGAATGATTGCTAACCTATAATAATGACAGAATCGGCGGAGGAATACAAGGAACTGATCGGACAGTTTATAGCCAACAATAAATACAAAGTGATTAAATATATGGCTTCGGGTTCTTTCTGTGCGATATTCAAAGTGAAAGAAATGAACACAAATAAAGAATTGGTCGCCAAACTAGAGGCCGAAGAGACAAATAATCCTCAGTTAAGCCACGAGTTCCGCATTTATCAGCTCTTGAGGTATGAGTGCAATCACTCGGCGATTCCCAAGACATACTTTTTTGGCTCATTTCTCACATACCGGGCTCTTGTGATGGAACAGTTCGGCCCTAATATCGCCACAAAGTTTCAAGAATGCAATCAAAAGTTTAGCGTAAAAACGGTCTCACTTTTGGCCATTCAGTTGATGGATATCTTTAAATACATTCACAGCAAACGTGTCATCTATAGAGACGTTAAACCGGAAAACATATTATTAGGTTTACCACAAACTCCGGGCGCAAACCTCTTGCATATCGTGGACTTTGGTTTGTCTAAGGAATACAAAGACCGAAACGGTGTTCACATCCCATATAAAGAAAACGTTGGACTCAACGGTACGGCAAGATATATGAGTATTAATACACATCTGTATAGAGAGCAGAGCCGTAGGGATGACATGGAAGCGGTCGGACATATGTTGATATTGTTTCTCAGAGGAAGCCTTCCCTGGAGTGGACTCGACATCAAAGACTCTGTGAAGAGGTTTAAGAAAATTGGAGAAATAAAGCAAAAAATTGAAACAAAGAAATTATGCCTTAATTTGCCGCAAGAATATGAGATCTATATACGAACCGTTCGGTCGCTTCAGTTCACAGAAGATCCCAATTATGATGAATATAAGGATATGTTTGAAAAGACTATCACAAAAATGGGCGAAAAAGTGGACAACAAATACGACTGGAATGACAGCAAACGTGTGACCAGAAGACCATCAAAACCAAGAACTCCTTCAAACACTACTTTGAATGAGAAAATGAATAAATCATAATTTGATTGCTTTCCAAACAATTTCCTTAATATTGACAATGATTTTATTTATTTTGAATATTAATAAAAACGATTTATACTTTAATATCCGAGTAAATAATATCCAAGTATTTGTTTTTATAAATAAATTTTACTGCAGTAAAAGTAAAATAAATCTAAATTACATATCAATACACATTAATTTCAATCAAAACTATTTGCCAATTGTTTATTAACACCGGTTCTGAGTTTCATGTGATTGTCTTGTGTTTCCAATCCCTGGTCTTCGATCTCATCGTTGTATAGATTTTTGATTCTCTTCGACAGGAATATAACGATCACATCGAAGACACTTCCGATGAAATACATGCCGAGAGTTAGTCCGTGAAGATTACGTCTAAATTTATATGTATCGTAAGCCCAACAGTTCCCTCTGTGGCCACACTTCGACTCCCATATTAGACACGAGGCGTCGACTATCGCTCCGTATATCAGAGGGTATGGTATGAATGCTGTCATTAAATACCCATTACTGCAATTAAAATTAAAGTTCTATAAACAGTATATTTAATTACCAAAGATACACATAAAAGCAGTCATTAAACCGATAGCAAAACTTTTGTCCTCTTTATTTACTATTCTGTAATTCAAAAACAATAATTGAAAATTTATCATATTTTTAAATTTATATCACAAACCGAAATGAAATGATATTATTTCCAGTTTTGGCCAAATTTCCGATTATATTACTTACTCCTAAAAGTGTTATATAAATATGAAAATTGTTCCCACAATCTGTGGCACAATAGCCTTCAGTCGCCGAACCATCAAAACAATTACAATCGGAATATTTCTGAATAAATAATAGATATATGTTTTGAAATTATTATTGAGTTTTGATTAAACATACATTTATTGTTGTATTTGTTGTTTCACTAATAGATTGAGTCTTACAGCCGGCAAAACATGGAGAGAAGTAATTGGTTTTGTTGTCCGGACCACAAATCGGCTGGAATTTGGTTTCCGAACAAAAACAGTTGTCGTTACACATCGACTGCATCTCAAATTACAGCCGGCAAAACATGGAGAGAAGTAATTGGTTTTGTTGTCCGGACCACAAATCGGCTGGAATTTGGTTTCCGAACAAAAACAGTTGTCGTTACACATCGACTGCATATCAAAACTATACAAACTATTTATTAATTTTATATTTTATTATAACTTAATAAACATACCGTGAGTTGTGATGAGTGCCGGCAAACTGTGATTGAGGACAGCCGAGGAAAAGGGCGGATAACATACCCATTACTGCAAACAATTCAACAATTGTTATGAGAGAAGTGAGAAGTCGGGGTCCGGGAAGAAATTTACGGATGAATAGTCCGCCCAGGAATATACCCGTTGCCGTCGGGATTACACCTATTATTCCTGTAATTATAAGTGAAGTTAAAAATAATAATTATTAAATGCATAGAATTTACCAGAAAATAAGTTGGCGGTGGAGGCGGAGGTTTTATATTCAGATTCAATATATTTCGATTTGAATGTGAGATAACCGAGAACTGCAAACAATCGGGTCGTCGTTCCCAATGTATAGCAAATATAAATCGGATTCTTTAACAACCGTTTTATTCGCATCCAAATATCTGTCAATACATAATGTGTTATAAACTCTATTATAAATTATTGTACAAAAATCATTATTTGGAACAAGTATGAAATCCATTATTAATAGTTGTGAATTATAATGATTTTTATAAAAAAAAAACACCTAGATAATCTTAGACATGATTCAAATATGCATTGTATTGCTCACTAATTTCTTGTGTTTGATTTCCAGTTGTTTTCATCAGTGGTTCACTATTTTCCGGTAGTTTTTGTGTTTCGTTTGATTTAAAACTTCTCGGAAAGAAAAACATAGGAATCGAAAATATTAATACTGCAGTGCCAATCACTATGAAGCCAATCCACCATGCTCCTATCCAACGGGGGTCTGTTCGCTCTATTCCCGGATCCACTAAATTTGTAAATAAAATAATTTCTATTATATTAAATACAATTTATATTCTATTTACTAACGAAATGGGTTTTCATAGAATGTTAAGACATATGACGAGAGAATAAAACCAGAGGTCGGACCACAAAGACGGAGAGCACCCGCCAGACCTGTAATTGTCATTAGAAATAATAAGTAAATTGTTAAAAGGATTAGTAATGTTTAAATAATTACATGTTATAATAAGCACGAATTTAAATATTATGACAATATAGTGAAACAAAAGTCAATCACTCACTTAAATATAGGGGAGAGTTCTTCTTGCGGACCGAGTCGTCCATAAACGGGATGGCAATGATATAGAAGGCAACGTAACCGATGCCATAGAAAACACTCGCTATACATAAGAGTATAACCGCCAGAAATGCAGTCTCAGATCCACCGCTTTCTCCGCACATATTATTATCGAAATTGTTTTGATCGCAAAATTCTGTGCTTTTATTATATTTCATAAGACGTCCGACTATTTCCTTATTACTACCGCTCAACAGA